AATTCTTTCCAAGAAATCAAGGAATTCAATTTACCTTGAAATTTCTCCTCCTGCTGACTCATTCACCAGCGCTCTGCTTCCCCATCTAACAGAAAAATTGTTAATGGTACCTTCCTATCAGAAGGGCATTGCATGCCATCAAATGTCTTTTCCAACCTCCTCAGCCAATCCTCAGCTGCTATAGGCTCAACAAGGCCCTCAAACCTCGGAGGCTTCAATCTCAGAAACATTTGTAGATGTCTATCTACGTCTTCAGATCTAATAGCAGAAACTCTATTCTGAGTCTCGCTCATCATCTAAGCAACCAGCGTAGCAAATTACAAAACTATATCATAATCAATCATTGGAGCAGAAATGTTCACAGGAGCTGCTTGACTAGCACTCTGCCCACCAGTCATATCTGGGTCTGGCATATTCATAATCACACAGAAAACTATGCACATAAAACAACATAATAAAAATCCAGACAAACCAGAACTACCCCGACAGACTTACAGATCAATTCCTATAGCTCTGTCTTAACAATCGAAATTCAAAAACTATTGCTATGATACCACTTAAGTTTGTTATGACCCAACCCAACCGAAACAAATCCCTTCACGTCGGGCCGTGATAAAAATTTAAAATCCAGGATCTAGCTTTGGAATTTACTTCAGACTTTCTTCTAAATAGCAAACATACAAAACACAGAGCTACTATAAACATCCAAATATACAGAATAGTTCATCCATATTTTCTTCTTTCATCAAAAGAATCATGTACAATATAGTGCATGACTACAGACAGAAAGAACAGAACATAAAAATCATGACTGTACAAAATCAAAAGTACAAAATACCTAATCTCAGATCAGACATAGAACGGCTAGTCCAAGACCTCATTCCATTTCCCAGAACCTGAAAACCAAGCAGATAACAAGAATGAGCTAACAGCTCAGTAAGACTACACCAACCAATCAAAATCTCCATAAACATACAACAAAAATATATCAAAAGAGTAGCCGTACATAATTCAGATAAGCCTATAAGCAGACAGAATACATATACAGATTCTGGCCCCTTATAACTCAGATAAGCGTATAAGCAGACAGAATACAGATACATATTCGGAACCTGACATAATCTCTACGGATTCTGGCCCCTTATGCCTCCCTTCCGTAACAAAGACAGAATCTCAACGGATTCTAGCCCCTTATGTCTCCCTTTGTGCTTAAAGCACCATAACAGAATAGATATACATAATTTTCAGAATAAAACTTATTTTCAAATTTCTCAGACCCAGACAACGGAATCACAAAGGATTCCAGCCCCTTATAACTCCCTTCTAATATCACAGCACACCAAAACATTCAAATCAGAAGAATTGAATACTTCAGAAAATTCGTCAGCGGCATAATGACAGTATACGAAATTTTCACAAAATTCACAAATTCAGAATTTTACCAAATTATCACAGATAGTATAAAACATCATTGTAAGACTTTCAATATGCTGAAGCAACATTTTTCAACATCCAAATAATTCGTAATTCGATTAAAATACCGCAGAATTCAAAATACCTAATAAAAATCTTCCAGAAAATATTCAAAACGTGCAAAAACATCATCTCAAAAACATACAAAAAATTACGCGGTAAAAGTTTTATCGGTGCAAAGTTATACCAATTTTTCGCTAATGGAAAATGAATTTAAAACAGAAAATTCGTCAAAAATCATATTTCTGAAAATTGAGAAAGGCATAATGTGCCTTACCTCGAGTTGGTCAACTTTTCCAACTACAACGATGGACAAAAATGAGTCGAAGTCGCTCAAAAAACGACACTATTCAGATATTTATTAAGCAGGATTGTCTAGGACGATGTCCGATCGTCCCGGGACGACCTTCTCTGGGCTCAAAACATCTAGACGAAAATAAATTCCAATTTCTTCGTTCCTGGACGATGCTCTCTGTTTGGTTCGTCCCGACGGTTCATCCCGAAGGTTCCAGGTTCGTCCAAACGAACATGCATATTTTCTCTGTTCGTACTGGCAGTTCGTCCGTACTAACCATACAGATTTTCAACATTTCTTCAGTTCGTCCAGACGGTTCGTCCCGTACTAACAGCACAATTTTTTTTTTTTCAAACATAAATTGAAAATTTAAGGGTTTCACAGAAAATGAGATTGATATAAGTGATATAAGTTAAATGTAATATTTGCATATAAGTAATGAATGGTAATTGTTACACTATAATTAAAATGATTGGTTGTTAAAATATAGTATCATATATATGAGGGTGGGCCTACGAGCTTTTTCTTAAAGATAGTTTGTGTCGTTATCTCGATTGTAGCCTATGATTGATGACCAATTACATCGACACGCAGAGGATGATGGCTCTTAATGATTCATTAAAATTCACATGTAATAATAATGATAAAAACAATGCAATGATAATGATAATTATGATTATATAATGATATAATAAATGAGAATGAAACAATAAAAATGCCATATTAAAAATAAATGTCTTGCCTTACTGAGTTATATATCGATGCATACATATGCACATTGATAGCTTTAATAGATAAAATAGTAATATGTGTGCATATATAGTATATGAATAATTACATGTAATGCTTTTATATAATAGAAAATGGATAAGATGGACAACACTAATGACGTTGACACATATATATTCATGACATGCAATATTGATTTATTGATTACTTTTATATTTATGTTCTTGCACCTATTATTTATTTATGGATTTAAGTGTGATGACTTTTACTTTTTGTTATTAATCATGTTGAATCGTACTAGTGATAACTAATCATTAATGTTATTGAATGCTATTGATTATATTGTTTGATCTAAATATGCATATTGATTCTTTAAATATTGTATTAAAGTTTTAATGAGTTTTGGATTTCTATTGGTTTTATAAGCTCATTATATAATTTTATTGATTCCTGGTTAGGAAATGGGCCAGGATTTTAGGGCAGTGAAGTGAATTGAGATCTTCAAGTTTCTTCTGTTATTTTGTATTTTTGTTGTATTCTTTTATAGTCAGGGGCTATTGATGGACTTATTGAATGTTAGTGATCTCTTGGCTATTGTAAATGCAATTTTGGTTAAATAATATAGTGAAATATTTAAACATCTATAATATTCAATTATTTTTCCTGGAAAGATTGATTTATATTGATGATTAATAAAAACTCTTAAATGAGTACGTGGGCTCCAAAAATTCATGCCCCGGCCTCCCCGCCGCACGATTTCTTCTTTTTATTTGGCGAGGGAGTTTTAACGGAATTAAGTTCTGGGGTAAATTTTGGAAGGCAGATGGGTTGCTTCGTCCAAGGGGACCTTGTAGACATGGGGTGGATGCTTGTTTAAGGAGACAAATTTTAGTCAACCTTACCTAACAGAAAGCTTTATGCCTTATTGAGTGCACCCTATGATTCATTACTCAAGGGTGAAATATTTAAACATCTATAATATTCAATTGTTTTTCCTGGAAAGATTGATTTATATTGATGATTAATAAAAACTCTTAAATGAGTAAGATCAAACAAATAAGCAAATGATCTCTTAAAAGATAACTCCTGCGACATAGGGCTCTACCGACTTCAACCACATAATATATTTTATACATTGTATGTATACTACATTAAATCAATGTCTTTCATAGAGAAGGTACATCTTTTGTAAACAATAATAACTATTAGTTAAATCATTTCAACTAAACCATGCATCATGGTTTTCCTCTTTCCATGATTTCTCAGATAAAAGGTCGTGCATTTTTTTTTTAATTCATACACTCGTCTATTATCTTTATGTATATCAAATATTTCATGTAAATGATAAGACAATAACTTTGTATCTTTCTATGACCATGAATATTCTAACACATAACATATCTATGTCCTATTAATTTGAGAAAAATAAAAAAAAAATATAAACATTGAAAACTTTGAACACCTCTTCATCTTGTTAACACGTAGTTGCTCTCGTTGATGCATTCACTGGCAAGCTGCCATCGTAATTTCTTCACTTCTTTGTAGTGAAGGGTTTTAGGAATTTTTGGCATGGGATTTGAGGGAGAGAGAGAAAAGGGTTTATGATTTTAATATTTAATCTTATTTGATAGTAATTAAATAAAACATATTAATTAAAATTTAAATTTGTTGCGTGTTAGAAAATACGCGGCGGTAGAGTTTGTAAATTTGCGTCCTAGCGTTGTACGTAAGTTTAACACACAAACAAAAAAGAGGAGTGAACACCAAGAGTTTTTACGTGGAAAACCCAAAAATGGGAAAAACCACGGGGCCTTGCCCAGTTGCAAATTTCCACTGGTGTTTTCGTAGATTACAAATGGCGGATTCCGTCCCACAAGTTGGGATAATCCAAATACAATTTGTTTCTTCCACGAATTTTACAAAATTCTGCGAATTCCTGGCGTTTCACGCAACATATA